AACGGTAGAGGGTGTAATTTTTGGTAGTATATGATCTCTTGCTGACTACCTACCGGTTTGATGTTTTTAACTTTGTTACCGTAGTTCAACCTCGATAAGTACGACTGCGTGCCGATTATTAGAAAGAGATCGTCGTGAACGGTATTCGATTCTAGGTCTACGGTGGGGCGTAACTTTAACGCGTATTCTGCGATAATTCCCGGTTCCGCCACCGGTCGCGCCCCCACCCGACAGTCGGCCACTATTCGATAAGGGTCGTCGTATAGCGAACCCGAAAGTTCGGAGGACGCGTCTTACCCATATCGGCACCACGGACTCGTCGTAGTGGAACTGCTCGTACGTGTAGTGCATCGTCTTATTGTTCCGGTCGAACATGTGGTTGTCCAGCACGCCGTGCTGCTCGGGGTGCAGACCGGTGGCGATGGTGTGGTGGTTGACGAACGTCTTGGTGGGGAACGCGGGACGCATGTACGGCGGCGCGGCGGACGCGTTCAGGAACCGGGACAACGTGGGCGTCGCGTTGGCCTGCACGTAGTCCGGACGGAAGCCGTCGAACGACACGACCACCACGAGCGGATGACGCGTGACAGCGGCCGCGTACGCCGTCAAAACGGCCAGGGCTAGCGACGTCGGCGACATGGTGGGTACCGCGGGCACGGGTGCGCTGGTGGCCGTGGACGAGTGACGTGTGGTCGACGGGCGAACCGGACCGTTGTCGGCGGTGCGCGTTACGTTCTCGCGGGCACCTCGTCGCGACTTTACTCGGTGCGCAGGTGACCAGGTGACAGCCGTATCCCTCCCTCCGCCGCGCCAACTCCTTCCATCCACACGTCTTTTCGCGTGGTGATCCGTGCGAGTTCCGTGCGCGCGCACGTGCGTGACGACAAGTGCGTGCGCCGAGTGCCAGTATCGCGAAGGTGACGTGTCACGGTGCCCGGGTCGTCGGAGTGGGAGCCAGTCGAGGCCGCCGTTCGCTTTCGCGTGCAATCAACGATATCGCGAAACTCGGCGCTACGGGTCGGACGCACAGGGATCGTCCAGGTGTCATTTTGAACCAGTCGTTCACCGAGGGTCTGGAGAAAAACTGACGAACGCGCGGGACTGGCAGCGAAGAGCCGAGAACGTGCAACGACAATCCCGAAAGTACACGGATGGGACTACACGTGAACATAGGTTCCGTCAATCTCCACTGACCCCCTCCCGCCCGGAGGCCGGATTTGACGATTTGAAACTCCGAAGTGTTCGGTGAAAAGTATCGTATTAATAAACTCACAAGTGAAAATAGTGGTCTTCACGATATCTAGTCATCGTTTGTTTGATTTATCATTAGTATTATAATAATAATAAGATCACATTATCCTCCGCTGCACACGATTTGCGTCCCAACGTAAAACATTGTTTTCTTATCTTCCTTCTATTTTTATACAGGTTTAGGATTGTCAATAGCGAATTATTACGAGTACTATCGACAGGTGAAAAATATTGATTTTTTTCGTTGTTATGCAATTAGAAGTAAGTAAAATTAAATTAGTAAATTTTAACTATAGGATTAAAACAAAAAATACATATATATGAATATAAATAAAAAATTAATATACTGTTAAAAATACAAACGATACCTTTGTAATATAATCGATACGGGTTATTTAATATTTCATATTTTGTTTCATTTTTTTTTTCACATACCATCCGTCTGTTTTTAATTATATGAATTGTTTCTATTGGTTCATTTTAAATAATATCAATGAATTGGAATATATTCAGGTCAGCTGAGTAAAACATATTAATGAACTTGAAATGGAAAATCAGACGCAATCAGTGTACACACGTATGTCATTACCCACGCGATTGTGTACAGCCTTTTATTTTATATACTAAAGACGAGGTAGAAAATTTGACGTGTGTGTACTCGTATCCGTGAGCTGAATTGGTCTACAATCATGAATTATAATCCTATCTATAAGAGGTAATACGAACATTGAAAACCACCTATGCAACGTATTATATATAGTCATACAATAATATGCAGTGGTAATTTTACTATACGTTTTGATAATTTTTTAATTTTATTTTATTCCAACGGATTCATATTGTATTAAAAAAAAAAAAAAAAAAAAATCGTATTTCAACTATTTTCTGAAAAATGTACAAAGTTAACATGAAAATAATATAGATTTTAATGCGACTTTTTTCGTTGGAAAACTACAATGGTTTTCACGGATGTTTAAATTGTACAAGTAAATTATATATAATTATATACATACATGTACTTTTTAGTTTGTTTTATTTTTAATGATAAAACAATTTCCATGGAGAAATATATGGCCACAATACTATTTGATTGGTCTGTCTGTTCTATTGTTAAAATAATTCACAAACATTTCTATTCTTTTTTTATTACAATGTAACAAGTAAATATTATTTTATGTAAAATACAGTATATTATACTTATGTATTCGTTCTCTTATAACATATTTTCATATGAAGTATGTTCTATGTCAATATTTGCACAAAAATTGCACTCACTGTTATTATAATATTTTGTGAATACTGAATATTTTTTTAATTTATATAAGATTCTGAGTTCAGTTTCTTGTTATGAAGTATGCAAACAATAATTGGATGAATAGAAACTTGAAAAATGTAACTTAAATTATTTTTTGATTATTTAATTTGGTAACTTTTGCAAAAAGATAATTAATTGTATACGAGTACAATTTACTATTTAATATCCAATAATATCGTGCTAATTTACATTTGTTTTCTGTTGATATTTTTTCAAATTTGAATATTTATTTAATTGTGTAATACTCAAGGTATTTCTATAGCTGCATCCGAATTGGGTCCTGACTTTAAAATTATTATGCTAGTTGGGTCCCGAATTTTTTTTATGTACTACACTAGTTGGGTCCCGGATTTTTATAAGTACTACACTAGTTCCAGAATATTTTTTGGTAAGTAATATATAATACTAACATATTCCTTCCCATTTTAACAGATATAGGACGATCTATGATCTATTTTGACCACAGGTATGGTTAAAAATGTTCTAATAATTTATATTTTAATGAAATAGAAACTAAAAACAAAAAATAACTGTAAAAAACATTTTTTACCATACCTGTGGTCTAAATAGATCATAGACAGTCCTAAGTCTGGGAAGTAATGGATTGGAAGGAAAATGTTAGTATAATATAGTACTTACCAAAAAATATTCAGGAATTAGTGTAATACCTATAAAAATCCGGGACCCAACTAGTACACTACCTGCGATTATCCCCTAGTACTCGGAACCCAACTCAAATGCTCCGATTTCTATGACGATCAAGAAGTCCGATCAGAAAAACCCGATTAAAATAATTGCAGTACCACTTAACGAGATTTGGCAACGTTTAAGATTATATATTTATTTTTTTACATGTTAATTTGATCTTAATGAGTAAATTAAAAGTGAACATAATACTCATTACATAAACTTAATGAGAAGTAGTTTTTAATTGACCACTGATATCGAAACAAAATGACCATTTAACTTAAAAGTTAAAATTTTCAACGTTTTAAATTTTTCGTTATTTGCGTAGTATAGATAGTATAGATAGTATATATAGATCGCGGAATATCCTCGTATGACTGGTTTTTTTTAATGGACCTTATAGGACCGGATTACCGTCGTCGTCGAGCCTCTCTCGAGTCTATTCGCTATCGGAGAGTATTTTACGGGCGTCCGTAGCGACAAGCCGGGAAACGTATCCAGCCAACATTACGTGCCATTTATAGTCCCTGATTGTCGACAAACTCTTGTAACGAACTTTTGGTCAAAACTATTTTTATAGGTTTTGACATCGTCAGTGCTTGTTAGTACTCTAAGTTAGTTCTTTACTTCTACAAAAGTTATTCGCACGTTTTGCAAGAAGTTGTTCTTTAAATCAAGTATAATCTCTAGAGTCTTACAGGAAAACTTTTTGGTTTCATAGCAGGTGCGTATTTAGACTTATTTCTAGGGGGGGCAACTCAAATTTTTTCTTTAATTTAGGTTCAAAATTTACAAGTAAAATTTTTGGTAATATTTATATCAGGAAAATCCTTAATATTTGTGTTTTTTTTTTTTTTTTTTTAATCTAATGCTGGATTCACTTAAAATGGTCTTTTGTGTAGTTCTTTTTTAACACCTATCTGTGTTTTGAAAATTTCGCTTGTGTTTTATTTAATTTTTCACTAAGTATGGACTGGTCTTCAATCAAAATAATATATATTATTTATCGTTATGGAACATATAAACGATATAAGCAATTGAGCGTTTAACGCTATAAATAATTTCAACGTTATTCAATATAAGCGTTTAAACGTTTTACAAATTTAAACGTTTAAAAAATTTTCCGTTTACCATTATTGACAATTAAAACGTTATGAAAAAATCCGTTGTTGTTTTTGCGTCTCGCAACCACGCAACATCAAATCATACATAAAACGTTGTACGTATTTTGTAACGTTGTGTAATGCTGAAAGTATAACAGTCTACGAGTAGCCGACTACTAAGTTTTATTTCGGAGTTTAAAGATACATTTACATCTGATGGACACGTTTTAATTTGTGTTCTATGTGGTAATTTTTTTTTTTAATACATATAAATGCATTTTATAATGCATATTTTAATGATTTTAGAAGCATATTTGTGTGTTTTTTAGAGCTATAAGTCCCTAAGCCTATTAATTTTACGTGTTTAGTTTCATTACATTCACGTGTTATTTACATAGTATGTGACTATGACCTTTCTTGGGGGACGCAATTTACCAACTCGGGTATTCATCATATTTGTGAACACGTATGTTTGTATTCTACTAAAAAATTAAGATTCCTAGTTAGTAATAACTAATGGTCAATGATATTTTTTCAAACGTTTACATTTGTTTATAATACGTTTTATTTGAAATTTTGATTGCGGTTCATGGTAATAAAATCCTTGACCAACAAAAATGACGAATTAATATCATATTGTCGTGTTACAATCTTAATAGTTTTTATTTTTATGATTGTTCAATAAACTGGGAACTAATTAGTGCAATAGTTGACATATGAACGATGATTTCGTTAACGGAGCATGACAGTTCTATAATAATATTACGATGTTGGTTGATCTTAAACCATTTGTATCGTTCACCCAGTGTGTACGATCAGCTGTACCATACTTTAAACGAATGGTGTAGACTTCGGAAGCAGTAATAGTTGTTCAACTTCAATCATGTTACTGTTGGGTTGCTTGTGGTTGGCCGCAGGCACTTTTAGATTCAATACGTGGCTGATGAGCGAGTGCACATCGATAATGTCGAACGGTCGGGCAGTGAAGTTTTTTTTGAACGCCGGCCCCGAAGCCATGAAGACAGCGTGCATCTGAGGGTCCACGTTATCGTACCCGTGCATCCCCATTCTGAAATTCTCCTTGGCTGAAAATTGTATTCATCGGCTAATGACTTTGGTCAATACATAAAAATCGCACAACGCTTTATCAGTTTCGTTCATATAGTTGGGAGTTTTTTTTTTCGAGAGAGAAAATATCGTTTCGAAGGGGAGGGTTGTTTTTTGGAGAAAAAGGATTTTTTCTGGTATATTATTTCAAACGTGTAGCAGCTTTTGCCATATAAATATATATATACTATGGCTGTATAAACTCACTTGATTTATCCAAAATTCGTTGTATATAGTCACTCCAAAACTCATAACCTGGTTTAGCTAGTAAATATATAATTCCTGTTAACCTGGTCGTATTTTTCATGTGCCAACGATCTGGTATTTCTTCTTTTTTGTACACGTCAAATGTTCCCAATGAGATAGCCGTATTTTTGAGATTCTTATATACTTCGTCAAATTGACCTACAATCAATCGCAATGAAAGTTACCCTGATCTCTGGAAATTATTAGTTTAAATTTTTAAAAATATTTACCTGGGTTTGGTTTTACAAATACGCTAGAACCTGAATATATGCTTGTATACGTTGTATTAGAAATATATTTATCTAAATAAATAATTCTGTCGTATGTAACTGTATCCATTCCATGATCACTGAGTATGATTAGATTCATTTTAGTGTCTAAATTTTCTTTTTTTATTTGGTCAAGTAAGTACCTATAAAATCATTTTTTTTTTGAACTTAAATTATAAAGTTAAAAAAAATGAAGACAACTGAAAAATGCCTATTTAAGAAATATTTTTTTTAATTTAGTTTTCTATTTCCTATTAGTTTAATTTAAATTGTATAATGAAATTCAATATTATACTGACAATATTGTATAGATATAATACATAAAATATTAATAGTCACGTGTACTACTCAATACTGAAACTATTGCACTGTCTCACCTTGTAAATTACATTTATTAAGAATAAATAAATCATAAGTACTTGATTGTTTTGTCTACTTTAGCGAGTGTTTCATTGGTTTCCTTAGATCCAATTCCGTAAAAATGGGCTGTATGATCTGGTTCATTGAAGTGCAAAAAAACGAGATTTGCTGGGTTTTTTTTGTCCTTGATCCATAATATTGTTTTGTCTATACGAGAAGTCCACGGCATTGTACTAAACCAAAACAACATGATTTTAATATTTGGTAGCCATAAGATAAGAAAAGAGTTGTTCGTTGAAGAACTGATAGTTTTAAAAGTGCTGATGAGGGAGAGAGAATAATAAAAAATTAAGTTGTTAGTACACAACTTAAATGTTGTTAAATAACTTGTGTAAATTTATACATATCTAACCATAAGTATGTCAACGGCAGAAACTTAAAGTACCTGTGCTGCCACTGCAATTCTTAAAAACCGTCAGTCGTCTGAGTTTTAAGGCAGTATGAGTTATGACCAGAGCTATGAATGCATATAATATCTATAAAATAGCATGCTTATTTATGCTCTCAATATTAATGAAATATGCATTAAAATATGATTTTTAAAAATTGAAATTTGACAAAAATTGACAACATGATAATGATCATATTATTATTTTTAGAAAGTGAGCACTTTCAATACGTCTCTTCTTCTTTTTTAGCCTCCTACAGGCCTTTCGGACCCATTGCCGCAACAACATATTGTCTCCACTCTTCACTGTCTTTTGCCATTTCTTCCGCAATCCTTACTCCCAGCATCTTCTGGTCTTCTTTTATTCTATCTGCCCATCTTTGTCTGGGTAGTTCTCTGGGTATTTTTGCATTTGGTTTCCATGCAGTTATTTGTCTAATTAGTCCTTTCGATCTCCATACATGTCCGTCCCAGCTTATTCGCCCGCTTTTCAAAGTTTCAATAATGTTAGGTTCGTTATA